TAATATACGGCCGATCCATCATTATACATTTTTTTTTTTTCAATAAAGTGATTGTATCGATTATCTGTGTTTCTAATTAGTGACTTCTTCTGTATTTTTATTTTTATGGTAGTTATGGTTATCATACTTACACACGGACTTAGATATGTCTGTAAATAGATTAATTTACATGTGTAATCAAAGATGTCCTTTTGGTGCGTTTTGTGTTTAAAAATGTTAATTTTACAATGTATGCAATTTCATTAATAATAACAATAATTATAATAATTTTAATACATTAACGTCTCAGTGCAGTATCTATTATGTATCAATGCCTAAAAAAGTTCACGTGTACATTACATCAAATCACAAACAATATTCAATATCGATAGCGTAACGCAATGGTTCAACGCAATGCCGGCGCTAGAAGTATTGGCGCCCTTGAACCTCCCCCACCCCTTCAACCCACTTACTTTGAGTAGTTGTATAATAAAGTTTTTTAGTGAATTTAAATGAAATTGATACATATTTAGTATAATAACTTAAAATTATATTAACGCATTTTATGGACAGGTTTTTGTTTTTTCGTTGCAAGAATATAATAGTTCTAATTTTGAGCTTGGCGTTTTTTACTATTTGAAAGTTTTTTCGGAGAATATTTTATTTCACGCCACCACTGCCTACAATATAGGAATACTGTGTTTTTATTACAACTCATTTATTAAGACAACCAGAGAACGGAGTTCATTGTAAATAACTAATAAAAACCAAAATATTATGTAAAAATTAACTAAACAAAAAATATGAATATTGATTACCTGTTAACTGTAACTTGTTAGTTTAAACATTTAACATTACACAGCAGATCGTACGTAGCAAGAGCTCATCGAAAACAATAAATTGTACGTGTGTGTCTTTTTGATTTACGCCACACATCGCGGTATTTTTGCCGTAAGGTCCAAACGGTTTTACTGCCGCGTTTTTTACGTAATCGTCTAGTTTTACGAATTTATTTGTAAACGAGTAAATATTTTAAGAAAATAAATATTACAACCATCTATTTATTTACACAAACAAATGCGGTGGTATGTTTCCATGCATTATTTTTACATCATTACAGCGCTGTATGGATGCAGTACCTATATGAAGTAGAAAATACAACTGTTATATTCTTACTTCCTGTAGATCGTTAATGCGTATTAAAAGATAAATTAGATTAAAGCAATTTTCAGTTTGGCGCCCCGGGCAATCGCCCATAGTTTTCGTCGGCCCTGGTTCAACGATTAATACTACTTGTATATTTATTTTATCACTGTACATTGTTAATAATAATATTGAATAGTATATAAACGTGTTTGTTTTGGCTCACACGCTACAGATGTGTACTACAATACACAGACTACATTGATGATCGTGGTGACAGGTGGCTTAAAATAATTAAAGAAACAACCTATATGACAATATCGCTGTTAAAATAGCTTATTATCGTTTGGTCCATTTTTAACGTGACTATTGTTACACACATATACACACACACACAAATACACAATGTTACGTATATACACACGGAAAAAACCTCCGCATCGCATTCTATAGCCGTGGGCGTCTTTACAAAACTCGTCGTAGTTTTTTTTTCTGAATGCCATAAAAAAACCACTCAAGAACTCGCCGTACACTCACACTCACACACACACACACACACATCAACTTGCACAAATTAACACATACGCACTGGTGTGCACGAGTATCTATATATAATACTAACACACACACACGCTCATATACGCATACACACTCACACATCCATACGAAGTCCTACGATCTAAATATTTATATCTGTATACGCCTTAGTTAGTTTAGTCGTACATGTTATACGAATACGAATAAACTGCTGCCGTTGGATATAGCTCAGGATTTTAGAAACGGACTTCTCATTGCGTTACTTCCAGACGTCTGGTAAGTAAATTACTCACTATATATATTAGTATTTAACGTATACAAAATATAGATAGGAAAAAATATATTAATCGAAACACAATTAAATAGATTTATTACGTAAGCGCGTCGTATACAATGTATTGATAGTTAAGAATGCGTTAGCTTAGAAATCAGTCCGAGAAATTCCGTTTATACACATACTGAATTTGTGATGACACGTCATCTCGCATAGGAACACGATACATTTTTTATGTATATTTTAATAACTACATGTAGAATACTCTACTTATTGTCAGATGATTAATATTCATCATTGCAATCATAATAGTATACAACTAACGAGACGAACAACACGTTGGATTAGTTTCATGAATCAAATTAACATTTCAATAATCCAGCAAATTGCCCCATCTTCCGTCAATGTTTCACGAAGACCAATGATTGAATGTGCACGCAACAGTGTGTGTGTGTGTGTGTGTGTGTGTGTGTGTAAGCGAGTGTATTACCTAGTGAGTGCAAGTGAGTACGACTGTTGCAGTGTGGCAACGAAAACAGATACATATATGGTATTGAATGATAGCAGTCAATCATAATACGTACCTACACGAATCAATCGTGACTATAATAATATTATGAAGTTTATGCATATAATAATATTTGTCCCGATTTTTCGTTGATCGATTCTGATAACGATGTTTGTGAGATATCTTTATGTTTTGATTATTTTTTCCAAATGATTTATTTCTTATAGATTAAAATACTTAGACCGCAAAAACGAAATACACTTAAACTTTACATTCACTAAACGTGCAAAAAGAGAAAATTATATGTTACTTTGGGTCGGAATGATCTAAAGCGTGTTTCTAACCGCAAGTGAAATGACAAAGACCACATATTTTACAACAATAACACCAAACGGAGTGTTCATAAAATGAAAAAAAAAGTATATAATAATATTTTTAGGTATTCTTAATATATATTTATCTGACTTAAGTCATTATATTACTATATAATCATCAGTGACGTATTTAGACATTTTGCGCCCCGGCGAAAAAAAAAATTGACGCCCCTCTAAGGGGCCTACCCACGGAAAATATAGGAAACGGATCTTCATGAACATTTTAGATATTCTAAAATTAATGCTGATAGCTATATTGCTATAAATATATTAGATCATAGTTGTTTAAATTTCAAATAGCATAATACATTAACATTAATTTATGATACTATTATTAAAAACAAAAAAATAATAATTTCAAAATAATTTTAAAAGTTCAATAATTCACAGGTAAGGAAATTTTCGACCACAAAATTTTGGCGCCACCATAAAACTAGCGCCTAGGGAAGTTGTAGCCAGTGCTCCCCTCCCTAAATACGGCCCTGATAATCGTATATATGTAAAGAAATTCAAATATGATATAGTCAAGTTCGGTTATATTTTTAAAACAATATTCATTATTCAAAAAAAAAAATTTACCAGCATCAATCAAACTGTTTAAACTTCCGAGTTCCTTGAACCGGATATATATACTTTTCATAATCCAATACATTTTCATTACCTATTAGATACCAAATTCTCATTTATAACATAATAATTTGAGATTATTAGGGATTATAGTTAAAAATTCAGTGCCCTGCTGTATACACACTGAGTGTAATATAATGAACTTGGATTTCAACCAATATAATATATTAATGGTTATTATTTCTTACGTCAGGCTGTAATACAATCGTTTAATATACTTTTTATCTATTAATAAGTCCATTAAAAATAATTTTTGACCACCGTCTGTTTTGATTTGTTGTTTTGTTACAATAAATTATTAATCATTCTAAAATGTATTTTATAATTTAAAATCAATTTACGAAATAATATTTTCTTTGCTAACTTTTATGAATCTTTACTAAAATATTATAACATCAAGTCAAAATCAAAATATTAAAAATATCTCAGAATAATTATTATTTATGTAAATAATAAATGTCTGCTAATATTTTGGTACTTATTGTTATTAAGTGAATACGTACGTATTATATGATTATATTACCTCACATTGTGTAGTTATCTCTAAAAGGATTATTTTATAGAAAAATTATAACAATACGATAACAGAAATTAAAATTATTATATCTAATCATCAATAATGTATATTGTACAGTAAAATAGAAAGTTCGTTAGTTTTCCTTAAAGTTTCAAATATAATTACAATTTTTCAATATTGGTTTTGAGGGCTCAATAAAAAATAAAATATAAAATCATTCATTTCTTGTGGTATAATTCAAACAATTGTTTGCTACCACTATATAAAAATACATTTAAAGTATAATATCCAACAATTATTCGCACTGCTGTTGCTGTACAAAATCAACGTGTTTACACATAAACATTCGTAAATTTGTTCACTTCTCTGGCGGAGCACGGAAGAAAAAAAACGATAGAAAGAAAAATAAACTGCTAACAAATCAGATAATAATATTATTATTAAAATTGTATTCATTCACTCAATGCGGATTTGGATCGACAACTACGTGTGTGGGCTTTTGTGAGAGCATGGTGAGGAATTTTTTTTTAATTTTTTTTTTTTTTTTTTGTACCGTATTATTTGCTCTACAAAATATATTGCGTATCAAATAATAATTAATACATACGCACTACTGCGCACGATAAACTTAAGTAAAGCGTAATAACTATAAATTACTATACATCAAAACGCTCGTTGTTTGAAAAAAAAAAATTAAATTAAATAATCGTATTGAAGAAAATACTACAAACTCGAACAAAGCTTATGAAATGATCAAAAATATTATAAATCATAATATATACGCGAACGAACCCCGATGAACTGCAATATCAACGGTGACGTCAATAGTAAAAATAAGGTAACGCGAACACTAACCAGCAAGTTTTCGTTATCTCAAACACCTTTGTGCCGCAATACATCAATAAAACAGCTATTCGTACGCGTGAAAACGATTTTTATAAGGTAAATAAAACGCGTGTATGCAAAATTATTTTATGAAAGTATTTTGTTGATAAAAATTCGAGGGCACACAATCATTAATTTTGATATTAGCGCGGTACCGTGCGTAATGAGTAGCAAACAAACGGCGAACCGTGAACCAATCATACTTAGTATTTTTACAGTGTTTATTGTGCACCGCGATGCAATAACATACTAAGAGTTTTTAGCAGTTAGTGTTGCAATTGTTATAAAGTAATATTGTAAAGTAATATCGATCACCATCGCTTCCCGCCAAGCCAAACTATGGTAAGTATGGTTGTTTTTAACTCGTAAACGGAATAAATGATCAACTACAAAACAGCTTTATTTACTATTTATTGATATTCCATGGAACCTCTAAAAGTAGCGTTATTACATAATCAAAATGAAATTTGAGCACCTAACGTTTGAGTGAACGCAAAATATTTTTGGTGTGCATAGAATAAGTAGTTCTCTTCAGGTCATCCGCGTTTAGTCGATTTACTAGCAAATTGGAACTATAAAAATATAACATTAATTAGGATAGATGGGTATGACGGTATAAAAAAAATAATAATAATAAGACATTTCCCACCTATAGACCTAGAACTGTAATAACTGTAGTAGTAGTGTATAATACGAGTATAACTTGAATGTTCAGTGTCGAAACAACTGTTATCCCAAGAATATTATAGAAAAATAAAAATAAATATTCATTGGAACGAAATTTTTAGAGAATTTGTAACCAGTTTCATTTACAAATCAATTAATTTATGATTTCTGGTGATGTAAAATTATTCCATTTCATAAGTATAACTACATTACATTCACGAACAAATGTTGCAAATGCTATAGGTTTTTATTCATCTGTTTGCAGTATTTGTGTTTCTGTGCACATAATAATATTATATATTGATACGAAACAATTGTCATTATTTTGTTACACAATATAAAAGACTAAATTGTTCTTGCGATAAACATCTGACTTTGCAGTACCTACTCGAATCTAATGAAGAAACCGTTTAATCAGTTTTTAATCAGACACATTAAACTCTGGAGGTATTTGTAAATATGTTCAGCTTATATCGGAGGAATTTCATATTGGTTTTTATCGGCATTTCTCATAGTTCTGAAAACGTTATTCTTTTAATTTTCATGAACATTTTACGATTTTGAAATATGTACCCGCCATGCATTACGCACATACCGTGGAGTTTAATAGTTTTTAATAGTTACAAACGTTTAAAACATTTAATGGTATGGAAAAAAAGGAAATTAAAACTTACTTGTACATTTAATTCTATACACAATGTATTTGATGTATATTCACACGATCATATATATTTGTAACATTCATAAAACGTTACTATATCCAATGGCAATTAAAAAAAAAAAATTACTGCTTAGTGGTACTAAAATCGTTATTTTCCATTTTTCTTTTTCGATTTCAAGTCTTAAATGTAAATATACAGTGTAATATGACAGTAGTGGTAACATTTTCTAACCGTTTAGTATAGTTAGTTAACAAAATTGAGATTTGATTTAAGAAAACATCATTGTTTTAGAAGTATTTATTAAATTTGCTTGATATGTTTTTTTGTTGATTTACACTCTGATGCCAGTTGATTTATATTCGGTAAATAATTAATAACTTTTAATAAAATATATATGAGACACCAATGCATAAATTGGTTGATCGATTTCTTTGATCAAATTTGATAAAATTCGTTTCTAAAATGAACGTCTCGTATGTATAAGTTAAAAAAAAATTGTCAACATTTCCAGTTCTACTATTTCTAAAGCGTTTCGTTGCATAACCTTAATATTTACTATAGAAAATTAAATTGAATTGAATATATATTTTAGTTTTTCACGTGCCCAAAATCACACGCGTATGGATTTGACGCCCCTGAATTATACATAGTAGTTTATTACATGATAAGTATATACGTATATATACTGTGTAAACTATACATCAGGGGTGACGAACCTATGATACGCGCGCTAAGGTGGCACGTTGAAAGAATTGCAGTGGCACCCAAAAATACTGAAATTATTAAAAATATTACATAAAAAAAAAAAAAATTTATAAATATTTTAGTTTATTAAAAAAAAAACAAATGAAATGCATTTTAAAAATGATATTTCTTATACATTCATTTTTTTCGTCCTCATATGCTTGTGAAAGTTTATTCTCTATAACGAATTTTATTAAATCAAAGAAAATAAATGCTTTAATCGATGAAACAATTGCTACTTTTATTTATTTATTTATTTATTTATTAATTCTATTAATGTGTTAAATTTTTTTCTCAAGATGCCCAGTATTTTGGTCATAAACATATTTAAAAGTATTCATGGAAAAGACATGTTAACTGTTGATAACTATGAGTATATGCTTGATAAGAAACGACTACGAAAACATGATGAAAATATGGTATATTAGTTGAAATGTACAAAACGGTGTGAGGCAACTTTACGATCAATATTTGACGGTAAGCATAAATTCACGATTTTTTTTATAAAACGCCATTCACATGCAACGGACCAAATTCAACATGAATGTAAAATTTTAATAAATATAATGAAAACTTGTGTTCAAACATCAAAAAATTTGCCTAATCGAATATTTCAGAATGAAATAGGTAACTAAAACACAGTCGTTTCATCTTAAGTGACCAAAAATGCATGTAAACAAATCATAAAAAGAGAAAGAAAAGGGAAAGAGCTTTTCTGAGCCAGAATCATTTGATTTTATACAATCATTAGAACTTCAAAATACAATTTCAGGACAAACTTTTTTTTTTTTAAATATTTCGTTCATATTTATTTTTTTTTTCAAACATATGACCTTTCTTACATATATCCACTCGCATAGGCTTAAATTCGTACAGATGACTTTCGAACACTTGGCATTCGAACGTACGGCATTCAAACACTTGATTTCGAACACTTAAACATCTGACCTTTTCCAAATTTTTTAAATCCAAAAATTATGATAAATAGTAGAGCTCTGAAGGAATCTTACTTTTTAGATGATGTTCAACTGGCAACAAATGTGTTTCATTAGCATGTTAATTCGAATAACTTATTATTATTTTGCATTTTTTTTTTTACATTTTTTTATGTTAATTACTTTTTAATTCATTTTTTGACATTTTTAGGTCATTTTCCCTTATTTTTAGTCAATTTTACTGATTTCGTACAAATCACTTCTTATTGTTTTGGTCGACCAATACACCGATGACTTAAGACTTGTCTGATTTTATCTCGCCGATTACATTTGTAATTGTCATATTGAAGTGAATATTATTATACCTACATTTTATTATTTTTTCTTGATATTCGATTAGTATCTGATTACATTCGTCGCCTCAGTGTCATGTGAATAATACCTATTATATCAAAATTTTATTATTTTTTTCGTAATATTTTTGAAATTATGAAAATTAAAACGTCGGTTAGTGACCTGCTACTGCAAAAAACAGTAACTACAAAATTCACATTTTCGAGAAATTGAACTTTTGTGTTTTTATAATTTTTTTATTCAATTGAAAACCTTAAGTACACCTTTTGATTGAAATAGATAGAAACTTATGCTAGAAATTCAAAAATCTTATTAGTTTTGTGATTAATAAATTATTTTGACAATTTTCACATAATATAACAGTTACTGCGTTTATCTTTAGCATTACTCACATTGTATCTTTAAGTGGTTCAATTATATAATGCAATATTATTAATATCATAAAACACTACTAGTAAAAAATGCAGTAACTACAACAGTAATCAATTAAAATAAATATATTAAAAAATAATAATTAAATAGACAAAAAAAAGTTACAACAGTTGCGCGGCAAATGATAATAATAATTTTGTTGTACTACTAGAAGAAAACGCAGTATTTTAATCCTAACGATAAACGCAGTAACTACAATGCATACTCGTATACTGCTTTTTAATTGTAGGAATTGTTAATTACTGCGTTTTACTCTAGGAAAATTACGATTCTTGAAAATATTGTTGTTAGGATTTTTTTCAGTTACATTTTAAGCTACTAGATGTCGATATTTTAATACTTAACTTTAATAAAATTATACTCAGAATAATCTTATTAACAATATGATATCAAAAACTCATTTTTGATAATTCTGTAGTTACTGTTTTTCGCAGTAACAGGGCAGTGCTCGTCTGCGTCTCCCAACCACTTCAGTGGATATGGAGAAAAGTTTTTCCATTTATAAATATTTATAAACAGACAATCGTCGTTCATTTACTTTTGATACATGAAATACGCTCTAATTATACAATGCAATGAATTTGATTTTTGAGTAATTTGTAAGCTTTGATAAATTTATAAAACAAATATTTTTAATTTTTTTATTTCATAATTTAAGGACATTTTTTGTCATTTTATGTCATATTTGCATATTTTGTTTAGGTCATTTTCTAATGTTTTAAGGTTATCAACTTCCGAGCCCTACTAATAAGTAACACTGAAAACTACGGTAAACATTCATTTCCTACTTGTTCTAAATCATGGTCTTTTTTGGTTTAAAAAAAAAAAAACATCAATATGCTAATTAACTTTCCATACATATAAGGTATAATATTAAATATTATATTGTATCGAAAATAATAATATTATTATTTATTTTTTATTATTAAAACTAAACCTCGATAACGTGGCCAATGGTTGACATTTTAATTTTTTTTAGGTATAAGTATGCTATAGGTAACCCCATGTGTAGTTGATGTGTCCTATTCTTAAACATGTCAATAATATTTCTTCTTCTCTATTCATTTTAGTTATATTTTTTAAACGTTCTGTTGTCCGTTTTTTAGTCATTTTTTCATTATTCTGTAAAACTTAAATAATAAATACTCGTATAATTAAAATAGTAGAAACCGCTTATTAGGAACACTTTTGAACCAACGTGAAATGTGTGTCAATTAACCTAATGTTTCTATTATGCCATTGCTTGTATTTATAATAATAAAAATATTTAGTTTGAAAAAAGGATCTATGGTGAAAATAAAAATGTATATGTTCGAACTGGATCAATAAAGTACATTATTGGCTAAAAGAACTTTAACTGCTTATACTTCCCGACCTCGTGGTACTGTGCGTCTTCGTCGTCATCATTTGGTTCACTCGCGGATTCCTGTATTCCGTGTAACTCAATCATCTTTTCCAGTGAGCAATATTGTCATTCGGTTATGAGGTGAAACTATAATCTCGATCCACGTGTTGAAGTCGATATGATAAAGGTGACATCAATTACACGTGGACCATATTGATTTAATTATTTTTATCAATTATATCTATAATTTTTCAATGCTGTAATTGTTTATATACTCGTTGTGATATTATTTATTAATTTAAATTTTTTTCAATCCTTTTTATATATATACATCGTATATATATATATATATATATATTGGGCACCCTGTTGTAATTTATTCTAAACTTATTATTATCATTGTTTACTAGTATTATAATTTTGTCCTGGGACTCTATGTCTAGCGCCTATTATATTGGTGTATTATTTCATTTTTATTATTATAATTAATATAAGTTGGTCACCTTTGTCTAATACTTGCGCAAGATATGGCAAACAACTGTACTTCGTAAGATATGTGGCAGTGCTATCAAAATATGCTAAGTAAAATATGTGTTTATCGTTGTCTGTTGTTTTGCATTAAGTAACTTGATAATTATGGTTTCGTAAGAATAACGTTGGCCAGTCTTTTTAATCCGTACGGTACAGGACTACTTTCCTGAAGACACTTAGAGCTTCAACGATTTCTTTACTTCATGTAGTCTTGCTGTTTTCTTCTTCATCGTCATTGTCAAGGATTCAAAACCGCATTACAGATCTCTTCTATTATTGGAACTTCTGTAAAACCGAGGTTTGAAACCAGATCGATTCAATCTTTGTACACTTATTCCGAGAGTTCGACTGGTTTCGATAGTAATGACATAAGATAAAGTATATTTTTATTACAATACATTGGTTATTGCCAAATAACCGGAATTTATCGACAAACTTGGTCCTAATTGTTTCAAATAATCGATGTATTGTTTGAATAATCCCATTGATTTACAATGTTTTAATATACGGCCGATCCATCATTATACATTTTTTTTTTCAATAAAGTGATTGTATCGATTATCTGTGTTTCTAATTAGTGACTTCTTCTGTATTTTTATTTTTATGGTAGTTATGGTTATCATACTTACACACGGACTTAGATATGTCTGTAAATAGATTAATTTACATGTGTAATCAAAGATGTCCTTTTGGTGCGTTTTGTGTTTAAAAATGTTAATTTTACAATGTATGCAATTTCATTAATAATAACAATAATTATAATAATTTTAATACATTAACGTCTCAGTGCAGTATCTATTATGTATCAATGCCTAAAAAAGTTCACGTGTACATTACATCAAATCACAAACAATATTCAATATCGATAGCGTAACGCAATGGTTCAACGCAATGCCGGCGCTAGAAGTATTGGCGCCCTTGAACCTCCCCCACCCCTTCAACCCACTTACTTTGAGTAGTTGTATAATAAAGTTTTTTAGTGAATTTAAATGAAATTGATACATATTTAGTATAATAACTTAAAATTATATTAACGCATTTTATGGACAGGTTTTTGTTTTTTGTTTAAATAATGCGATTGTATGATTTTTCCGTGTTCCTAATAAACAACTTCTACTGTATTTATTTTACCGCAAATCTTGGATAATTATTACAGTTGAATAGGCTAAATTAATATTCTTCCCTTACAATATTATATAATAAAATTATACATATATTTAATTTTTTAAATATTTATAGAATAATTATAATATTTACTAAAATAATTAATAATTATTGTGTTGTATATTTTTATTACATATTTTTGAAATTCCATAAGTATAAATTATATTTATTTCTATCATGTTATCGTTGTTGTTAATTATATTTGATGATCTGCATAAAAGTTCCAATGTAACAATACATTTGCCAAGAATTTAACATTTTTGTGATGATTTTATGATTTGAATATGATTATAGTATAATACCTAAAATATAAACTATCTTAACACCTGATAGTTCAGTGTAATTAATCTTAAAATTAAAATGCTACTTATTCCTAGGATTTAAGATAAGTATTGGTATTAATAAAATATTTTAATTATGAAATGTATTATTTACTAAGTCAAGTAATAATTTAATAAAAACGACCATTTATCGTAATTTTGCCTAATTCTTTAAATATATTCATAAAGATTAAAACATAGTTCCGGAGGAAACCCATGTCATATAGTTTTAATTATCAAATCTAATCAATTTTGTAAAATGTCGGATTTGCATATTATTACGAGTTTGTATTATAATTTCTCATATAATATTCATTAGTAATTCTATATAATTATAATAAGCAGTTCAAATTTAAATTAAAAAAAAAAAAAATTGAGAAAATAATAATTGATTAG